TAATTGATCCATTACCTTCAACCCTGGATGAATGGACGGCACACTCCCAGATCCAACCCACACTTTGGTTTCTGGAAGACAAAAAAAATAGTAATAATAACAAAGATATAAACAACGGTTATTCAAAATAGGGAATACCACGCACTAAGGGCAATATTTAGGATTGATAATTATTCAACGAGGATAGATTGCCTAATTTTTCATTGCCATTTTTTGTTTGTTTTTCATTCGAAGCTGCCTGTTAGAGATGGTCAAGAAAGCAATTTAGAAAGATCAACGTTCATAATTCTAAAACACGTCTTGATGTATTTCACACCGTCGGTTGAAAAACTGTTTGGAAAAGAAACTGTTTGAATTTATACCAACATCGGGAGATATGTAGGACTATAATCACAGGGATAAATATAAGAAAAACAGGATCCAAGGGGAAATGTGAGGTTGACATTTACTGACTTGTTTAATCAGAAGTATACTGGGCTTTTTCAGTTGATATGATTCGCTTCCTTGAGTTTTAGCTGGAATTTTATGGAGCAGAACCCATATTTCTGACATAATCTACAGAGCAGAATATTAGATCCACTTTAATGGTAAATGTTTGAAAAATTTAATGTGAAAAAAAATGTCTCTTAATCCACTCTTTTTTTCCCTTCTTTCATTTCTTTTGTTTTTCTTTTCACTTCATTTTTTCTTCCTCCCTTTCTTTCTTTCATTTCGTCTATTCTCTCTTTCATTCCTCTTTTATTTCTTCTTCTTAACTTTCTAGTTTGTAGATAACTTACCACCAGCAGGTAAGCGGCATAAGGATGGGTTTGTATTTCATATATTGTCGTCCCAGCCCCTAGAAATAACCTTGCAGTCTGAGACCACTCCGTATTGCATGGATGCTTCAATAATATCTACCGCTATTCGAAGCAAGCACAAGTTAGAACGCGGCACAGATCTTCATGTAAGGAAGGAGAAATATCAAAGGCAGTTGGAAAGGGAAGATTTCAGTCGAACCAGTCGATTCCAGTCGGTTGAGACAGCAATCGTTGAACACGGAAAATAACAAGTTATTTGCGATTAGAGTTGACAACTTTAATAAGCATTGCAGGATACAAAATCATTTTAGTGTACCCTGGCGATATACGCTGACTTGAAATCTCATTTTCAGAGGCCTCCAATTCCGAAGTTTCGGAGAACCTCTTATTTGCAATCGCGCTCAGCGTTCTCTCGTAACCTCAATTCTCAAATCCTGGATATTTTATAATATATACCCTTGGTCAAATTGATAAAAAAGGGGTTAAAGTTTTGGCTTGGTCTTTGAACAAAGCAGGATTTTAATTATTTTGGTTTCGAGTGTGGGAAAATCTGATTCCCAAAATCTGATTGTAAAACCTTGGAGCGTTGGATTTCGTCGTCCGATGCGAAAAAAACTCAGTGGTGGATTGGACCTCACACCAGGTTTAAACGAGACATTGATATACGTCTTGCAATTTGTCTTGCGTGCTACAAGGATTTGCAATTCCGGAAGCCTCGCGTATGTATTCATATCTCCTAATCAAGGAAGACGCTATCCGCAGTTTTTAATCAGTTCTGTGATCGTTTATAATTCATTCACCATGCCACTCAGCTTAAACTTATTAGGTGTAAATGTTACATTAACACTAAAAGGAATTCCAACCGGAATGAAAGGCCCAGAAGAAACTTTAAACGTTGGAGGCTTATCCGTACTTTCCTGAAACGAACAAAACAATGGAGCATCACCTTGGGCTACAGAAAAATAAAATTAGTTTCCAATTGAGTCTTTCACTAGTAAACGGTTGATGCCATTCATCAGTCCCTGTATTCCTAACTTACTTTTTTTTGCGACAAATGAATGCTTTTATCCTCAGCTGGTTTTTAATAAAACCGCCGGTGGGCAGTGGAGAGGAAAATAAATAATAAAAAATTAAACAAATAATGGAGATGGAGTAATGGAACCCGGAAAACAGGCAATTCACCTTTTCACGTGGTGTCACGTGACTTTGGATGTAAACAAATCACGAAAATTTGGACATTCAGTCAACCACCCACTACCCGTGTACGAACTTCGGCTTCGGCATTCTGTTGTTAATAATTTCCACTGTCGTGAAACGTTGCTATGCTCAAAGTTGACTCCTTTTTTGTATCATATGTTTGATTATTCATAAAGCGAGTCCATATTTCGCTACCGCCTAAGTATAAATGCGAAGAATGTGGCAGGAATGTTCCAGCACGGAATGATAGAACTAGTTCTGCGTGCGTCAAGTCATGCATCTGATCAGGTATTTTCAAGAAGATTAGAGCGTAAATTGTCTAATAAAACTACTTTTGGTAGGAAATTTGCCCACGAATCGCTGTAGAACGTGAGCAAGCCTTCATCCCCCGCAGAATTTCGTATTGTATCGTATTGTGTAGCGATTTTTGTAACCGCAAGTAATAACGCAATTGAGAAATTCTGCGAAACCAAATTTAACGTTCAATGACAATAATAGCTGAGAATGGCAGAACACAAAAGTAGAACCGATTTCAACACTATGAATGTGGTGGAACATAAAACAGAGGATTTCAGCGAGCAGATATTCGAAGACTTTCTTTCATTTCGTCTATTCTCTCTTTCATTCCTCTTTTATTTCTTCTTCTTAACTTTCTAGTTTGTAGATAACTTACCACCAGCAGGTAAGCGGCATAAGGATGGGTTTGTATTTCATATATTGTCGTCCCAGCCCCTAGAAATAACCACGTTTGTGGAAATCGCTCCACAGTCGAATAATTGGTTCTGCGAATGGGTCCATATTTCTGAAAATACGACGCCACCTATTAAGACAAGTCAATGATTCATGATATACCAATTACCGATCCATCTTTCTTAAAGTGAACAATTTTAACTCGTAGCCGCCGTTTGGATTGTAGGACATTTTTTATCATTTTATTTACAACTCCACCGAGTCAGGCAGGAACTCGCCGCTTATAAATCATTTGAAGATTAATAAAAGCTAAGTTTTTTCGTTTGTCTCAAGATGTAGTCACGTGTGATGTAGATCGCGACGTTTTTACTGCATACTGCTAGTCTTCAGGCGATGAGGTCGACTGGTCATGCGTTATCTTATAAAGCATGATGCTCTGCTGTGATTAGTTGTTTTTCAACAGCTCTGATTGGTTCATTTTGATCCTTCCTTGCTACCTCGGCGGTCCGCTGTCGCACGGCTCTCCTGTTGTTGTGTTTTTTGATCGTGGGCATCCACGCCTTTGGAATTTCTATTCCACTATCCCTATTGATATTGTTAGGGTGAAGTCCTGTATGAATTACCTCTTTGACCCTGCGCTTGTAGTAATAAGGGTCAAGATCAATAAACTTTACTTCGTTCCAGAGTAACTTGTGTCCGGTGTTGTTGGCATGCTCTGAAACTGCAAAGGTCTCGGTACGGGTGAGTCGGATGTCTTGATCGTGCTCCTTAATTCTGTCTTGCATAGGTCTTCCAGTCTCTCCGATGTACACCTTGCCATATTCACAGGGAATCCTGTAAACTACACCATCTTGTTAAGCCGGGTCGACAGCGTCTTTTGGCCGTGCTAACTGAAATCTTAGCGTAGTCTCCGACTTGAAAACAGCGCGTACGCCTTGTCGTTGTAGGCAACGGCGAAGCTGTTCGAACAGACCTTTGACATTATTAAAGGTAAAACTGCAGTAGCTTTGAACTCGTTGGCGGGTTCGGCATTGTTGTTTGGCTTTCCGGTCTTGGTAAGTTTCTGCAAGAAAAAAAAAGAATAACCATTAGAGACCAGAACAGATGACAGATTTTTTCTTTTTTTTTCTCCTCGGAGATGATGGAGGGTTTTGTTACAAGGCGTTTGGCTATTCGACGGTCGTTGTGTGGTTGTGTGGAATCTTTTGTGAAACCTTTTTCATATATGCCTTCTCTCTTTTTGTCCAACTGCTCCAAGAAAGTGGAAAACGCGAAGGAATCGTCGTTTGCGTTTCTTACACAAGATTGGGATATGGGGAATCTTCTTTTCAAGTGCCATGAGCGCCGCTCTTTGTCGTAGCCAGTCTGCTAGTATATTTTTAAATAGTAACTTACCACAGAATGTCACATTAATGATTCAAGTCCTGAGCGATATCCCCATGTTCCACTGATAACAAAAACTAACTTGCTCAGGAAGACAGTATGTCCCGGTTGTCGTGTCAGAATCATAATTGTCTTCCAAAGCGACAGCTGTGCAGAAAAACACTGTAAATTAAGGAATTTATTGTGAGCTTAAAGTGGTCTTCTAATGAGCATTTGATAGCCTCTTTGAGATACTGCACATCTTGCAAAAAAGTCTGTAAAAGTAAGCTTTTGGCTTAAGGGTTTAAAAGTAAGTTTTCTGCATGATTCGTGCCGAAATTTAAATTTATACCAACCACCATAGTTACAGATGACGAAAATAAGGGAAAAATACGTTTAAGATCCTCATTTTTCAGCCAAAACCTCAGTCCTTCTCAGGGGGGGAATTATGAACATTTATAGAACAACTAACACACTACGAGAGCCACCCCTGATTGGAGAAAAATCTTTCGTGTTTATTGCACCGGTGAATCCATAGAGAAAAGAAACATTTTCATTTTTGATGAAAGCAGTCGAACGCATTTTCCACCTGTTTATCGACGTGGTAACCAACGCGGCATGTTGAGAGAATACAAGACATCACGGTTTGTTTCTCTTATTTTCCCAACATCTCGCCGGCACGCTGATAGAAAGCGCGGTCTATTATTGCATCGACGAGAGAGAGCGTAACTATCAATTAAGAAAAATGCAAACTTTGAGCTGATTAATTATTACTTTGAATACTTATACCATCGTTACGATTCAGTGGAGTAGTAGGGGAAAGGCGGGTTCTGGCTCATTTTTATTTTAGCTATTAATTTATGGCAAACATTCGATAAGTAGTACCTCTTTAAACAACATTATCAATATTTCACGTGCATACACTATTAAATTATGATGAACATTCGATAATTAGTATCCAATTGCGTGTGTGTTTACTCTGTCTGGTAGAATGACTCGCTTATCATCATTGGCAGACAGAGCGACTTTGTTGATCTCTTCCATGAAAATCTCATGCTTTCGACTTCGAAGGGTGTTCATTTTCCGATACTGATTTCCACCACCAAACAGACATCTCTTATAATCATCGAAGCTGATGGTACTCTCCACTACTCCTTTTTTGACTCCCTTACACTTTTTCATCTCACCTCCTCCATCAAACATCTTGTAGCTATAAAGCTTTGCTCTCAAACCGACAAACTCTTCAATGATTTTTCCACCCGCCTCATCTTTGAACTTTCCAATAACTTTCTTGTTCACTTGTGGTAACCCAGAAGAATGATCTTTCGGAATGTTGCTTGTGTCAAACAGACAATCTACATCATCAATTATATCTTTGTAAAAATCTTCAGTCTGAATCTCATAGCAAAGACTGTCTGTATCAGTGAAAAGAAGCTTTGCTCTATCTCCATACTTGGATTTTATGTATTTGTAATGAAAGCCATACATCAAAACCTTGCTGAGATCGAGGATACACATTCCGAGATAGACAGGTTTGTTGAAATAAACCTCTGTCTTTCTCATCTCTATTGCACAGAGATTTTCGGAGAATATGGTACAATGATTGAAGTTGGGTTTCTTTGCCAACTTTTTTCCCATCTCTTCTGAGTTCACAAGTCTGACATCAACTCGTTTCCGAATGTTCTCCATTGTCTTACCATAGACAGAGTTGTTCATAAGTTTAAAAAAGTCTTTCTCGAAATCGTTGTCAGCTTTGGTTCTCAACTCTGTATTGAGATCAATGTATTTTTTCATCCACTCCCGCTCTTCAAACCTGATGATGCGATGAATCTTTCCAATCTTCATTCCAATACTCATGTAAAGCTTCAAAGTCTCATGATGGATGATATACTTCTTTTTACCATTCAAGGTGCAGACCAGTTTTTTTACTTTCCCAACCGTCAAGTTCTCCGGAGCGAGAGGATAGTCGTTGAAGTGATCATGTTGCTCTTTCTTGACACCTTCCAAATCGACTTCGAGAATGCAAGGAAAATTCTTCCACTCGTCAAAATCTTTCTCATCAACCCATCTAAAACCATGTGTTGGTAGACTCTTGCTCATCGCTCAACCGTAGAGGTTGTTTGCGTCAAGATATGTGATAAACTTTGAAGGTTCAAAGGGGTCAAACTTCTCACCCATGTATCTGTTGTTTGCTTTTGAGTGCCTTGTTGAAATCATTGAAATCCCACCACGAATACCTTTCTCAAACATATGCAACATGTTTGGATCACTCAACAACTCAAGCTTTATCTTAGTCATCTTGAGACATGCATCCCAAGCCAACCCAGGTGCGGTGTAGTACCAACAGGGGTCGAGGTCGTAGTTCTCTTTACAAACCTTTCGAAAGTTTTCAAAAACATCACACAGCAATAGAACATCACTTCGATTATAAAGATTGTGATAGTCTCGCATCGTATTCATTCTGAAAGTCTTCCACACCCTCTGCGCATGACTGTACTCTTCTTCAGATATTCTACTACCACTGAGAATAGAGAAGAAAGCTTCGATCGGTGGAAGTTCAGTTTCACCTAATTTATCGATAGAATCTAACCACTCGTAAGGATAGACACCCTTTCTTTTCAACAGATCAAGCTTCTCTCCATCAAAGTGTCTTTTTGTATTCTCAAAAGAGTCACCCTTTTTGACGAGGTTGTCAACAAGCTTGGCAAGACTGGAAGCCATGAATTTGAAGCTGTCAATAAATCTCAACTCTCTATTAACAACAACCTCTTTGTTATCCTTTTTGCTAAAAAACTTGTCAACTTCAATACTCTTTGTGAAGCTGATGTATTTTTCTGTGTTGTTGGGAATGCAATTAATGTCACCTTCTGAAACACCGAGATTTCTGACAAAGAGATGTGCGTCATAGTTTGCCAAGTTGTGGAAGACAACAGGAGTGAATTTTGGTCGTCTAAATCTCAGGTTGCAAATATTATGCGCAGCTCCTCGAAATTTGCCGGTATAATGACAATGATCACGAACTTTTTCATCTCCCATCTCGAAAGCTCCTCCGCATAACCAACAACACTTTGCCTTTTCAAAGATCTCAACATCTTTGTTCGTGAAGATCATCTCTTTTGGGGGGTGGTTTTTGTATATTGTCTTAACCTCCTCTTCAAGCATGTCAACAAATATCTGCGCAACATCTTCATCCTCAGACTTTGCTGTATATTCAACCAGTTTCGAATGTCTGTCATCGAAAGAACATTTGACAAAGTAACAAAAACTCACCGGGATATGTTTCTGCTTCTTCTCGGTGTAACAATTCATAGGATTCGGTTGAACGGTGTGTAAAGGTTTGATGATCGACTCAAAGTCAGCATAGATGATGAACGGCATATCCATCTTCTTGTGGTGGTTCTTGAAAGAAAGAAAAGTTTCATCTTTTGGCATCTTTTCTCTCACAGCCTCATGATCTCGACAGAGTTCACGGTGTGTGTCTAACGCTTTCTGAGTTCCGAAATAATTGAGACATCTATCACAGATAAACTTCTTATTTTTCTTTTTTGATAGATCACTTGATACAAGCCTACTTAAATCTTTGATAAGACAATAATGCTGTTTCTCACCATCACATAACAGAAGAAGATGAATGCGGGACTTGATGCTCTCAACATTGCTCACTCTCAAGGGTTTATGTCCTCCTTCGTACATGTAAACGTTGACAGCAAGACCTGGATTCAAAGTTTCGAAACGGTAAATACTCTTCACCGAAACTGGAAACTCAATCCCACTCCAATCCAATCTCTTTGCCTGCTCTCTCAAATCTTTTGTCACACGCTCAGCATTTTTCACAACAGGATTCAAAGCTCTCGTAACACACCATTTGAAACATTCGTCATCTTCGTTCTTTATGTTTATGATAGCCTTTTTACTCGCAAGATTATTTGGTAGCTCAATGTATGATGAACCATTCAAAGGAGTATATTTTACCGTATGCAAATCTAAACCCTCAATCGAATGGAGAACCCATCCACTTCCTTCTCTTGTAAACTTAGCCATACTCTCCATCATTTTATCAACACTTTTCTCATAAATCTCTTTTCTATCAGTCTCTTGAAAGACAATCTCTACGAGAGATTTAAAATATGCAAGCTTTACCATAGTTTGACCTGTCGCAATGTTTGTCTTTGACATGTTACACCTCAGAACGAACTCTATCTTGATATTCTTCTGCGTTAACAGAAAGTTGATAACAATCGGTTTCACAGCCTGAAGAAACTCCAACACTCCATAACCTTTCACCCCATCAATCGTATAATGGTTTGTGAATTGTTTCAATGCAGACTTACTCTTAACAAGTGAGAAACTGGGCTGATCTCTTATCTTGTAGAGTTCAGCGATATGTGCTTTGAAATCTTTCAATTTGTCATCAACTACAACTCTTGGAGCATCAATCTTTTTCAACCACTGACCCCAATCCTCTACCACTCTCTTTCCATCATCAACAGCTTTCTCAATCTTTTTTAAGAGTGGTGGTTTTGATAGACTCATGATTTTCTGTGATTTTGGTATCTCATGTTTAGGAATAGGAGCGTCGAGAAAATTTGCTCTCTCTAATCTTGATTGATTTATGAATTCAATAAGCTCTGCTTTTCGAAGCTTCGAGTATCCACGAAGACCTCTCTCTTTTGCAATCTGACGAAGTTGTACAACAGTATTTCTATCCATATTATTATTAAGAAATATTTTATTTAAGTCTGTTTTTTAAATTTTTCATCACTCGTTAAGTGATGAAGACGCATTTTCTCATCAATCCTTAAACTTCTTCAATGTATAACTTTCAAATCTAAGCTTGTACTTTACCCCATCGATAACTATTGTGTTTTTTGTCTCTTCGTTTTTTGAGGCAACTTTCCAACCAAATCTTCCAGAATTCACTTTGAAGTGTTTCGCAGCAGCATTTATTGAGGGGAAAACGAGTTCTTCTCCTTCTGAATCAATAGGTTGAAGTGTTACTTTTTTCTTCACACCTGTGTATTTTGCACGAGGAGGAGGGTTTCTAATTAGCTCGATCAAGTCTTTTTTATTGAGTTCAGAACGACCTTGCAAACCCATCTCTTTCGCTCTTTCCAAGAGTGCAGACTTTGAAAATGACTCAAGATTATCTATCTTAGGAGGAGGGTTTTTAATTAACTCAATCAATTGTTTTTTTTTAAGTTTATAACAACCTTTTAAACCCATCTCTTTTGCTATTTCCATGAGTGCAGGCTTTGAATAATACTCAAGTTCATCCATCTTAATATTATTAAATATTTCTTTTAAGACTTTTTTCAATTTTTTTATTTTATAACCCTTGAAGTTCACTCTCATCAATCCATGAGTTAAATTTTTCTGGACAACCACTCCACTTTACGAGAGCTTTTCCTTTACTCTTTTGAATAACCTTTTCAATTCGGAAAACATCTTGCTTTGCTCTCAACATCTCTTGTTCGTAGAAAGAACCTTTGATCTCTTCACCAAGCAGGTCTTTCAACTTGTAAGTGATCGGGTTGGAATATTGAACCTTGTCAACAACGAAAATCTCCTCTGTCCAATTCGGGATGAATCCTTTGTCGAACACTTTTCGTTTGAATTTGGTGATGCGAACATGATCACCAACAGTAAATTTTGGCAAACCATTCAAAAATTTTTGAGGCAAACCACCAAAGAGATTTATAAAAACTTTATCTTCATTCTTTTTCTTGGAAGCTTCAACAGGTGTCATATTAATCGATGTATGTTTTCGATTGTTGTACTTTTCAACAATGTGTGGTAGAATCTCAAGACACTGTGTGTTGTTCTGAATGGTAAACTGCTTCCACATCTCGGTTTTGATCGTACGATTCCATCTCTCACAGACAGATGATTTCTCTTCATTCTCTGTCGAGTACATCTCAACACCTTTGCTCTTCATCAAGTCTTTGACATGACTGTTGTAATACTCTGACCCTTTATCAACCCAGAGCCTCTTGGGTAACCGTCTTTCGGTAAATATCTTCTTGAACCCCTCAACCACACTCTCACCCTTTTTATTCTTCAACGGAACAATCCAACCGTATTTACTGAAGACATCCAAAACCATCAGCAGATAACGATAACCTTTATTCCACTTTGCAAACTTTTGCATCTCAACGAGATCAGAGCACCAAATCTCATCAATTCCTTTGACAATAACGGGTCGTTTTCTAAAGTTTCGTCTCACCGGTCTGTGCAACTCATCTGCTAATTCTTCTTGCCACCTTTGACTACTTTTTTTGAGCTTTTTTTCCCCAAACCCAGACCAAGCTTTTGCTTTGTGTTGATAATGTTTCTTGCAGTCCAATGACCCCACTGCCTGTCAGAGAATGGTATCGCATCAAGAGCTTTAACCATCTTTCTATCAGCCACATTCTTGCACTTCTTTGGATTAGTGCTGTTTGCACAGACACTATAATCAACATCATGTTGCATAGAGACAGCGTCGGTCGGACCTGAAGGTGGGTCGTAGATCTCCAAAATCTCTCCTGTCGTTGGGTTGTATCGAACCTGATTTTCAAGAGGGTTATACGGACCTGTATATTTATGATTTGGAAGAGTCCAACCACCGTCCGGTTTTGGCAATTTTCCGATAGCTTTGTGAATATCGATAAATCCTCCTTTGTTGATTGTACCACTGATAAACCTTACCTTTGCACTACCACATTCTGCACACTTCGATTTAATCATTGGACGACCGTTTTTTGCAATCTCCCGTCTTTCACTCCCAGATACAGACTCAGTCTGTTTTCTCTGTTTGACACAATAACTCTTCATCTTTTGAATTTAATTCAATTTAATTTTGTTAAATTTTTTCATCAAAATTTTTCATACATGTTTCTTTGAGTTTGTCAAGAAAAAGAAAGTCAAAAGGTTTCAGTCTTGAGAACAGATCTGGTTCAAAGCTATTCTCACTAGCTATCAATCCTCGATGACGATTCATTGAAGGTTTGTATAGAATTAGATGAGAACAGTTCAATCTAATGTCTACAGGAGTCTTGTGATATGATTGACTCAGATACACTGGTGAGATCAAATGATGTCTTCCATCAATAAAATGTTTCAAGATCTTTTTCTGTATGTCATTTGATGCAGCTATAAGATCGTCAAAAATCACAACCTTTCTGTTCCCTCTTGGATACTCTGTTGTGTCAAGAATTTCATCAGGATTCATCACATGTAACACCGCATAGCCAAGTTTCTGTGAATGTTGATACATAATATTTTGAAGATCTTGTACCAACTCTTGATGAATGTTCGGTGTGTAGAGGAAAATCTGATCGTAAACAACAAGCGGCTCTCTCAACATGTACATTAGTGTGTTTGTCTTTCCACTTCCACTAGGACCAGCGATCAGCATCCTATACTCTTCATCAAGATAGTCGACACCAGGTACTCTTCTCTTTCGGGTTCTGTTTGAAGAATGTGTAGTCAATTTTGGAATCTTAACCATTTACTAATAATATACAAATAAAATAATTGACAAAGTTGTAAAAAGAAGAAAGAACATTTATCACAAAAGATAAGTATCAAAGTTGTAAAAAGAAGAAAGAACATTTATCTCAAAAGATAAGTGTCAGTTGTAAAAAAAAGAAGAAATAACATTTATCTCAAAAGATAAGTGTCAGTTGTAAAAAAGAAGAAATAACATTTATCTCAAAAGATAAGTGTCAAAGAAATAATGATTAAAAAAAGTTTTAAAGAAATGTTGATTATATTCAAGAATGCAACTCACATGTCTGAATAAGCTTACCAAAGAGAATATCTTCTTCCAAGAGCCTGTTGTCAACAAATATGGTAATAAAACTATCCAGATTTTGACAAATTATGGGGAGTCTCGTCATCTAACCACACCATTGGTGATTGAATCTCCTCTACTCTTCTCTTTCGGTGTGAAAAAGAGTGTAGATGAAGATGAAGATCTCATCGGTTATTCAATGCCAACCTGTCTCTGGAGTGATTACAAACAACCATCACAAAAACAACTTGACTTTTATTCTGGGTTGAAAAAGATTGAAATGATATGTCATGAACATCTTGATAAGGTGTTTGGACCTGAAATTTCAGAGATGATAAAACTCCCTTTGGTTGAGAAAGATGAAAAAGCGCCCATTCTTTATTCAAAGCTCATTTTCTCCAAGAAGAAGACACAGAAGATATACACAATTTTTCACTCAAAAGAGAATAATAAAGAGAATCCACTTGATTATATTGATCAATATTGCAAAGTGAAGATGTCGTTGATAATCGATTCGATTCATATTGGTGATAAAACTGTAACAGTACAGATCAAGGTGAATGACATCTTTATAAAACCACTTGTAGAGAGACAAGTTTTGGTCACCCTTTCTCCATCTGATGATGAAGATGAAGATTGAATAGATTTTTCATATTTCAAAACGAAAGATGAAAAAAACACTTTTGTTCACAACATTTATTGGTTTCATCTTATTGATTGTTCTTCTGTAAAATGTTTACTACATTTTCCTCTTCCGTTCGAAAGAGGAAAGTATCAATTTATGACTCAAACTTGAAACGTTTTTTATACTTATCAACTACTTTAGTTGATTGAAAGATTGGACATAGATCTGTGATTGTATCATCGATGTGTCTCACATCATTGAGAAAGGTTGCACTGTCAAACGGTGTTCCTCTCAGATAGGATATCAGTTCGGTTAAGATCTTTTCATAGGTTGTAAAGGCAAATTTGCACATATCAATCTTTCTGTCAAACTTTTTCACGTCAGTGTATGTCTTCAGAAGGAGACCTACACCTGTTATTGCAGCAAGTGGGATTGAGTTCATAGTCACCCCTCCAACGATTGTCCCGATGACAATGAGTGAGGTGCTTCCCAAATTACAGAGAAGACTCTTTCGTTTGAATCCCTTGAAGGTCTTCCTCGAACACCACCACTTCTTGTGATAGTATTTGTAAAGAGCTTTGAGCTCATCGATCTTCTCTTTTCCGATTGATAAATCAATATGGTTGAAGTTGAAAATGGTTGCGTCAGTCATTTATTAAAATTTAATAAATTTATATTGAAAAATAATCAATCTTGTTTTGCTAACATGATGTAACTGAAGTTTAAACCATCAAAAACTGTATTATTATTGTCTGACTCTATTTTTAGCGATGTATTTGCTTGGAAATATAACATTACTGTGTTCATTGTTGTCTTCCACGATCTGGAAGTGTTAACAAGTGGAATTGTAAGACCACCACTATTTGTGTCAACAAATTTATTACCTAAAACAAACTTGAGATTTGATGCTCGTGTACTTTGCATACCATCGATGAATGTTATAAGATACAGACCAGCATTATTGACAATCAGTTTTGTGGTATCACTTGAATTCACCGTGAAATCAGCATTATCACTCTGTGAAACGTTGGTGGTGTGATTGCTTGTTCCATTTACATAAAACTTTACAGTTGTTAGATTATTATGTGCTAGTTTTCCTCTATACCAGATTTTTTTTGCTTTTGTATCAACATATTTCTTGGTTGTTGGGTTCTTATCTGTTGTTGGTTCATTACTCAAAACTGTTTCCGGGTAAAAGGTAAGTTTGCCATTTCCCAAAGAGTACCATCGATCATAAACTTCAACCGGTATGTTGTTATGATAACCCTTTGTACCATAAATCACCACCCAGACATCTAATTTTTGATCATATGACTGACCTTGTTTGTATTTGAATACAAGATCAAACATCAAATAATTTGGTGTTGCACTACTCCATTTTGTTAGGTGAATGAGAGTTCTGATGTGATTTGAAAATTTATTTGATCGTTGTCTTGCAATTGTCTCAACAGAACTTGTAGCAGTCACATCTGATGAGTTATAGTCAATTTTATTAGAATCCCACCACACTTCACAAACAACTGTGTATTCCGATTTTGCAGCACTATACATATTAGCACCAAATCTGCTTGAAAAATAACCTTTTGATGAATCAAGTTTCAATTCATATGGTTTTACTTTCTTATTGAAGTTATGAAAATCTTTGGTAGACATTGCTTTCCCAGTGATATCATCTTCATCGCTGAATTCACTATCTTTCATGATAAAATCCAGATCATTTTTCAACTTGTTACTAACACTATGAGATAATTGGTTGTTCACATATGTGTCTACATATGTTTTATTACAAAGATCACTTCCACTTGTAGGTTCAGCTGAATTGATCGCTTTATTGTTTCCTAGATTGAGATTACCAGTCATAGATTGTGAACCATTTCTCAAAATAACATCATTTGAATCTGATTTTTTTGTTATACTTGTGTTGAATGTTGTTGTGTCAACCTTTTTATTGAGTTCAGTGTTCAACTTATTCAAATTAACAACTCTGGTTCCATTAGCTGGTTGATCTGAAATACCTGTTATCTGTCTGTCATTTTGATTAAGACTTGTGAAATTTAAAGCTTTTTGAATGCTACCACCTTTGGTTTTGTCAAGATAGTTTGAAAGATTTGCGTTTGATCCTCTTGGTCCTGCAGGACCTCGTGCACCTGTATCACCTTTTGGTCCTTGTGAACCAGTATCTCCTTTTTGTCCTTGGAGACCTTGTGATCCTTGTGGACCTGTGTCTCCCTTCAGTCCTTGATCACCCTTTGATCCTTGCGATCCTGTATCACCTTTTGGTCCTTGTGGACCTGTGTCTCCTTTTTGTCCTTTTGGACCTGGTGGTCCTTCAGGTCCTTCTTTACCTTCACCTTTTTGTTTGTGTGTAATTTGATGATAACCGTCAGAGTACGTCATTGTCTTATAAAAACTTTAGAAATTTTTATTTGATTTTTCAAACCTCTTTGAAATATTTTTTGATGAAACGTTCGTTTGAAAAAGTGTCACTGTATGATAGTGGTTCTAACACTTCAAACCAGACAGAGTACAAACTTTGATGAGGGTTGTGTGATTTCATCCTTCGACTTGTTTCATTCAAGAAGAAGAGGCAATAGTAACCACACAAAACACTTGTCAACGCTTGATAATGTGTGTTGTTGAATGCGTAATTAACTCTATGTTTTTCGCAAAGCATTAATACCTCTTCTGGTGGATCAAGACCGAAACTGTCAAAGTATAAGATGAGATCAGAACCGAAGACTATAGCAACCCAGTGTGAACCAGACTCATTTGACTCGTTCAGATTTATAACATAAGAGTGTCTTGGAATGCAATCTTTTATTTGATCTCTAGATATCACCCCACCAAAATTTGGAATCTTGAGATATTCAACCCAGTTTTGAATGTCAAAGTTTGTGATTGGTATATTTTTGAAAGGCGGTCTTTTCACAATATGTTTCCGAGGATTGGTATTCCATTGAAGGGAGAGTTTTTTCCCAGCAACAGTCCTTGTCCTTTCTGCTTTTTTTTCCCTTTTTTTACCCCTCTTCCAATTGTTGGTACAGGAGCATCCATCATAGTCGGTGGAAACCAAACTGGTCTGTTTTGCAACCCTTTACCATACACATTCCCGTTCCTATGCAAACCTCTTCCAGTTCCGCTTCCAGTCAACGCATTGAGTAACAGTGGCACACCGATTGAAGCAAGAAGAGTGCCGATAAAACCACCACTTTGTCTCTTTGTTGGTTTTATTTTCAAATCATCACCAGATTGAAGAGCCATTGCAATGTCTCGTTTCTGCTTTTCTGAGAGATGATCAGCATAAGGAATAAGCTGTTGAATCTTTGAATGTGGAATCATCATACCACCTGATTGACCAGCACCAAGAATCTTGTCAGTAGCGAAATTTCCCAAACTTGAGAGTGCACCTGTCGCCAATCCTGGAAGTGCTTTTGTTGCGAGATTCATCGCTTTCGGTAGAAGCTTTGTACCAAGAGTGAGGAGTGAAGATAAGAGACTGCCACCTTTCTGTGCAACCTTTGTTATCTGAGTCTTGCTGATTTTTAGATCCACTCCTTTTCCTAATCCCATTGCTTTTTGAATCTTCTTTATCTGTGTCTGTGTCAACATCATCTCATCAGAACCACTAAGTTCGTTGTGTGAGAGACGAAGAGTGATGGGTGATTTTTCTTTGAAAGCCTTTACAAGTTTCATTCTCTGATTATCTGAAAGTGTAACACCATATACAAAATAACGAGTAGCCATATTTTATATTGAGATATACAATATAAAATTAAAAAATTAAACTTACTTTCTGATGAGTGCTTTTCCACTCATGACCTCAACACTGATTTCTTCCTCGTGGTAAATCAATGCATAGATGTGATAGTCTGCGTTCGGTGTATCATTGAGACTATACTCGAAATTGAGACCTGTTGTGAATTTTTGAATATCTTCTTCTTTTCGTGTCAAATCAAAGTAAAGTATTCCATAAAGATCTTTGAACTTCTTCAAATCAATTGTTGAACCGAACATATCAAAATTACCTACAAACCTTCCATAGTCAAGAAGATCTCTCCATGCTCTTGTCAACTCTGTGCTTGGATCAAGCTGTTGATCAGGATACTTTTCACCACCCTGTAGTTGAAGTTGTGCTTTTGTAAAGTATCTCGCATTTGCGATGTTGAAAGTGTTGAACACAAGCATATTCTGTTCCTGATTGCTAAACTTGGTTGCATTCAGAACCCAGATGAAAACATGTTTCGGTCTTTCAACAGCAGTTGTAATTCTGAATGTACCATTTTTCTGTCGAAGTGGGCCTGAATCAACAAGTTGTTCTTTCATATAAGACCATGAATATGGTTTGAGAAACTTCTCAATATATGTTTTCTCTCCAAGTTCATTCAGTTTTAGGAACGGTACCCACAACCGAAATTTTGTCACGATGTATCTACCAGCCGCAGCAGCATTTGATCTGAACAAGACATTTGCATCATCTTCAAGTCTTACCTCAATATTAACCTTTGCATTGGGTGGAATTCGCTCTTCCAAAGATTCAAAGAAACCGAATCGGTTGAGTGGTAGATGAATGTTGTTTTCTGCACCTGCGGAGAGAAGAATCTTTCTTTTTGTAAACCCTTTATTATAATTAGTGTTGTCTGTTGGTGTTATGTTCTGTGCATTTCCATCAAGCTGAAGTGTTGTATACTTTTGTATGACTGCTCCAGTAGCTGTGTCAGGGTAATAAAATTGACGAGGACCAACCTTTTTGGAATGTTCATCTGAAAACTCAGTGAGATTCTTTACATTAGTAACATGATTTGCACTTGGCACATCGAGAACTCTTGTACTCTCAAAACTAGCTTTGATGTCTTTTACCAAACTAAATCCACCATTTATTATTCCTGCTGCATCATCTGCAGCGAAGGTTGTATTATCCATCTTTGTGATTTTAAAATCCATTTCAAGATAAGCATTGTACCAGTCAGCAACTGTGTCTGATGATGTTAATGCATTGACAGTAAACTTGTATCCATCCTTCTTTTGATATGCATTATTTGCTAGTGCAGTTTGGAGTGGATTATCAAGGTCATATGAATAATAATCATATCTCTTTGAAAGATTTGCAGTACGTAGAGAAGACATTTTAAAAATAAGAATAGATTTTTTTTTTATAAAAAAACTTCTTCGAAGTCGTCAAAAACATTAATTTCATCTTTTTTTGTTGGTTGTGGTTTTGACTTTGGTTTTTTATCTTTCTGTAATTCTCTCATAAGTTGTTCTCCTTTGTCCTCTTTGTGTGATTGTGTGATTTGAGGTTTATCTTCTTTGATTGATTGTATGACTTGAGGTTTGTCTGTTTTTGTGAATTTGTCATAAATCTTTTCACCAATCAACTGACCTGTTTTTTCACCAATCTGTTCTGCACCTTTTTCAAACGCTGTCGTTGCTGCTTTTTTAGCTATCTCCTTCGCTGCTTTCCCTGTGAGTTTTGTAGCTACCTTTGTTCCAATATTTTTAAGAGTATCAAATATTCCTTCACCCTCTTGAAGTGTTTGATTGTCATTGTGATTTTGTAAGATAAATTTTCCAGATTCATCTTTTTTCATTTGCATTCGACCCATTTTATTTCAAGTGATGAAATAAAATAACTATTTTTATATCAAGAGAAGTGTTAACGAGACTGATATTCCATTGAGGTCGATCGGTCTGTTCAGTGAATCAGTGATGTAGATTCTCAACTCTTGAATTTTGTCTGTATTTATTATGTTATACTTTTTCTTTCTTGGTTCGATATGGAAAGGGTAAGAGAGTGGGATATTATCAATACTGAATCGAAACAACACATCTGATTCTCTACCACCAACAACACTGTTTGAGATGATATTTGTGCGAATGTAAATGTCATCAACAGATCTTGTTATGTAAGGCAAATTTTCACCATAGCTGGTTGATGTGACTATCTTTTTTGTAAAACCAATAAGTTCAGCAAAATTTCCAGTTTGTAGATCAACTTGATAACCAGCTTCAACCTCCATCAAAACTTTGAAAAGCGCTGGTATAAATCTTATAGTGACACCTGTCTTTGAATGTTTTGCCCCCTCAAGTACTCTCTGAACATAAGCGTTCAGTTCAGTGTATGAAAAATTTCCATCTGGGAGTTTGATGGTATGCCACGTTTTACCTGAATCGTGACTATATTTCAATGTGTTGTTATCATAGCTGTTGCTTACATTGTACCAACTGTATGACATTGCGATTTCATCAAGAGCAATAAAATATTTTTTGTTCGGTTTAAGATTCATCACAGGATTGAATGTGGTTGTAAAATCATGACTTGGTCCTTTGTTTGCATTCAAAGAGCTTAGGTATATAGGTATATCCATCATGTAAAGTATTTCTGAATAAATGCATTATAATTTTTTTTCGTAATTAAATTTTTTTTGAGTAAGTAATCTAATATTTCAATCGCTTCATTTCTCAACTGAATACTTGTATTACCAGCATTGATACTCCCTACGATTTTAACGAGTCTATCTTTCATATCTTGATAATTAGTGAACATAACTGCCCCTCCTGTCAGTTTGCTTTTTCCAGAAGATTTGTGAATAGGAATATTTGCGAGTCTGTTGAGATCTGTGAATATTTGTAGTGCATTTGGTGAATAGTATCCTTTGGGATTGTATCTCTTTGTCAACAGATCAACAATAGTTTTATCACCCTGTCTTTCATAAACAACATCACCAGTTGAAGGATCACTCGCTTCGACAAACATTTCATTTATCAATTTTAAAGGATTTATAAAAAGGCCTCCGTACTGTCCTTTATCAACTTTGTAAGCATTTCGCTTCTTCTGTGTATATTTACGTTTTGAGTGACCTTTACCCTTTTGCGTGACAAGAATCTTCTCACCCTGGGCGAGCAGATTTATGCGGTTAATATATTTTTTCAACGTATCAATTTGACGTGTAAGATCTTCTATTTCATCCTTATTTTTTATCTTATTCTTGGAACGACCAGCCTTGATATGTTTTGCTCTCGCGATTTTATCATTCACATCATCTTCCAATTTATCAAGATCAAACTCATCTTCAAGCATCTGTTTGAATGCTTCATTTGGTGTCGGAAAGCCGCTTGTTTGAATATAATTAAGTTCATCTTGGCTAAAACCGTTGTGTGGATCAGGTATTTTTAATTTCGGTTTTGGTGGTGGTTCAATAGCGGTGGGAGAATCGGGTAGACTTTCAAAAGTGTCTAGCTCTTTGAGAAGAGATAGATCTTGAGTGAGAGATTTTTGATTCTCGTCCAATTTCTTAATCAATCTGTCTTGTCTATCGTCTATTGTCTCTTTGACCTGTTTAACCTCTTCTACAATAGGTTTGAATTGTTCTTCACGTTGGATAGCAAGACCTTGTTTGACATCTTTATACTCTTGTATTTTCTTTCTGATTTCTAGCTTTTTTCGACGGTTTTCCATTTTAAGATCAATGTTTTTTTTAAATGCTGTAACATCCATATTTATATTAGTAAGCAAATTATTATTTTTTTGAAACGTGATGTGAATAAATTATTTTGTCTGTTGAGTACTTTACACGTGGCGATGTGAGTCGTTTCGGCTAATATCAAGCCTCATCAGAACGCCTAGCTTATGAAAAGCGGACGTTTACGACTCCATGAGGAGAAGGATAATTAAAAATGAGTAGTAATCTTGTAATCTTCTGATCTTCTTCTTCTAATCTTCACTCAGGCAATCTGCTATCATTCTACCATGCAGACGGTTAAGTTCTTCGGCGTTTCTGTTTAGTTGGTACTCCAATTCCTTGATTGTTGATATCCAATAGGCGATTTTTTCCTTCGATTTGTTCCTCTGTTTTAACATCTTCTCTTGCTCAGATTTTATGTTATTCCATCTTTTCCTAAGTTCTTCTTTAGGAATTGAATCTTTCTGTATGATCTTTTGAAGAAAGGTTGTTATTGGTTCTACAGGTTTCAGATGTGGAACTTGTATTGTTGTTGGTTTTCCAAAGATTAGATCGGTATCGTTGACTTGTATATTCTCGCTCTCCATATTCTCTTCTCTCAGGCAATCTGCAATCATTCTGGGACGCAGTCGGTTAAGTTCTTCGATGTTTCTGTTAAGTTGGTATTCCAATTCCTTGTTTGTTGATATCCAATAAGCGATTTGTTCCTTTGATTTGTTCCGCTGTTTTAACATCTTCTCTCGCTCAGATTTCATGTTATTCCATCTTTCCCTAAGTTCTTCTTTAGGAATTGAATCTTTCTGTATGATCTCTTGAAGAAAGTTCGTTATTGATTCCACAGGTTTCTGATGTGGAACTTGTATTGATGTTGGTTGTCCAAAGATTAGATCGGTATCGTCGAATTGCATATTCTCTCTCTCCATATTACTCATTGTTAGTTATGAAGCTATTTCGCAAGCGATCAGGTTTTTTATTACATCTTAATCACGAGGTCGCGCGAATCACGAGGTGGCACTTTACAAACAATAAAATATCACGTGAAACCAGTGTGAAAGACAATAGAGACATTCCTGAGATCCCTAGTAACCGAAGAGGCTGAAACCGACTTCAAAATTTTTTTTCAACCTCTTCGGTTACTAGGGATCTCAGGAATGTCTCTATTGTCTTTCACGTGATCATCCTATTGTGTTTGGTTTATGCAAATTAGTGTTCATGTGAAACACTTTACACGCGAGACAGACCTTCACTTCTTATGATTACATCATAGATTACATCATCAGACCGGTCTGATTGAAATTTGCATAAAACCGCAAGCCTTGAGTCACACAGTCACGCAATCGGGTACCAATCATCGTATGTTCATCATAATTTAATAGTGTATGCACGTGAAATATTGATAATGTTGTTTAAAGAGGTACTACTTATCGAATGTTTGCCATAAATTAATAGCTAAAATAAAAATGAGCCAGAACCCGCCTTTCCCCTACTACTCAGTGGATTCTTGAAATTATCATCCCAAGATTCTAAAAGGCACCGGTTACGCAAGTTAGCACTTGAACGGAAGCTACACTGTAAAATGAAGAGAGTCAAATTGACCCCAAAAACCAAATTGGCTCAATGTCTTGAGGGCCAACTTGGCCCCTCGAGGTTCGTTTTGGACTATTTGAGCCAAAACGGGTCGGACAGATACCATTTCGACCTCTCCAAAATCTGAATTGGCCCAAACGAATTCTACCTTGGAAGTTTTTCTAAGTTTGGCCCTTTCAAGGGGCCAAGTAGGATTTACCAATTTGGCCCCAACAAGGTACAATTCTTGAAATGACTGATAATCAACCCAAAACTGTCAACAATTTTGGTCACATGGAAGTCCCATCACGGCTTGAACGACACAATAACGTGGGGATTCGGGAATGTTATAAGGCCCACGTACCGGTAGAAGTAGATCTTTCACTCTGTCGAAACTGGCACAATAAACTATCGACTGGCTTACTCAACATTATGCTGTGAATTTTTTAACAAGTAAAATTCTGTTGTATTAGGGGTTTCTCTCCAAGATGCGTCCTTCTTTTGCTAATGCGTCTTAGCAGCTCCTTCTGCGTATCACATCAGTCGAACTTAGACCGCGTGCGTCGGACACAACAACGAATTATAGCAGCGAACTCATGCATCACTGAAGAGGCTGTTTCTTGGCTCCAGTCGCATGGAATGAGACTTAAGAAAGGATAGGTAAGCGAAATAAATTTGCTTAACAACACGTTTTATTGCAAATTTACATACACAAACTCGGCCGCTCCATTGATCTTTGTTCGTAACTTATATTGCAGAGAAGGATGGTTGCGATGGCTAAGATCTCCTATTAGTTAGTCAGCTAAAGAGGAGAAATGTTGGGGAAAGCGCCCACAAAAAGTAGTGAGATTTGCTACATTTTTATTGAAATATACTAGACACATATTTACTTGCGCCATGCACAAAGCAAAGTAAACCCAATGTTTAAATCTGGTAAATTAAAAAATTAGTGAATTGATATTATGTAATCAGACAGTTTAATATTTTCGAAAACAAATATTTACCTAGATTCCTCCTGAATGGCTTTCAAAATTTCAACTACCATCGAGGGTAGGGAAGTCTTTGTTTTTTTTTTGTTTTTTTTTACAAGCAATCCTTATTGATTCATGAATACTGTACTGAAGCTGAAGTGCTTAGAAGTATGATTTCTTTTTCTTGATAAGTGCATATATTGTTTGGTGATAGTACATCATTGATGATCATTGAACTATGATTGTATTTTTTCTTTTTATGCACAGTTTGTTTACAAATATGGAAACTTTGGAGTTGCAAAAAATTACTCATGGACGCACTCGTTTTGGCCCGTTTTAAATTTCCTGTTTTGGGAGTCATGCATTATTTTTTCAAGCCTTGAAAGGGAGACAAGTTACAAGCACAATATTTAAGGTAGCAATACGAGGGCATGTAGACCCACATCGACCGGAAGATGCTCAATGCTGCTCTAAGGCTCTTTGTTTTTCATATACACAAATCAAACAAGATCTATATCCTTGTGCAGGAACTGGACCATTTGTTGCCTTTGTCTTATTTTGATAATTTTCTGTACTTTAAATCATTCTTGATCATAAACTGCCTTACATTGTCACATTTGCTGAGTCTTTGAAAAGGGAAGCTTTACCCACAAGTGTTTCTTGGGTGTAATTTCTCGCAATGCTTGAACTGTTAAGAAGTATATTGATTTAGGGAAGAGATCTATTTTAGAAAATGGCTAAATTAATGTGAAATATGTATGAATGTTATATCCTTTCATATGATGTTTCAAAGTTTGTCTGTTTTATACCACAATTAAGATTCTTAACAACTTTAAGTTCATGCAATGTAAAAGTTTTTTTTACATAAACAATATCTTCAATCTAATAAATGAGCATTTGAAAGTTAAAGTATGTGGTGTATTTTCATTATTTGACTGTAAGGGGTGAAATCAGCATGGAAAGGAAAGAGCCCTCTACTTCTGAAGTGGCCTCACATTGGAGCTGAATTGACTATTTTTAAAGGGGTCATTTGTGAGAGGGCTGAAATTTTGGGGGCCGTTTTGGCAGCGTTCATCGCAATCAATTTCTTGAACTTTAGACGCTCTTTTATAATAAGGATGTAGTGCCTTAGTATGTCTGTATCTTGGGCGATGGCAAGGAGATCTTGGCCATCGCAACCGTCCTTTTCCGCAAGATAAGATACGAACAAAAATCAATGGAGCGGTCAAGTTTGTGTATGTAAAGTTGCAGTAAAATGTGTTGTTAAGAAATTTCTTTTGCTTACCTTTCCTTTCTTAAGTCTCATTCCATGCGACTGTAGCCAAGAAACAACCTCTTCAGTGATGAATTCACTGCTATAATTCATTATGTGTCTGACGCACCTGGTCTAGGTTCGAGTAATGCGATCACAGGCAGCCCATGCTCACGTCTCGAGAAAAAGCCAACGATTAATTCGTTGTGTGACTCAGTGTTCAGTTATGAGAGGAACCGTTGAAAATTTTAACACGTTATGAGGAATAGTGTGGGGAACGAAATATGGTCGAAAAAAGAAAATTATTTTTATATTATTTTTTTTTTCAAAAATTGCACCTCGTTCGGGCCAAATTGGTCAATCCTACTTGGCTCTTGGAAGGGACAAATTGAGAAAAAGTTCCAAAGTAGAATTCATAGGGGCCAATTCAGATTTTGGAGGGGTCGAAATGATACCTGTCCCACTCGTTTTGGCTCAAATAGTCCAAAACGAACCTTGATGGGCCAAATTGGCCCTCGAGAAATTGGGGTCAATTTGGCTCTTTTCATTTTACAGTGAACTGCTATATATACTATTACCCTTAGCATCTGACTGCTAATTCCTTTCACAATTCTACGTGGTCGTCTCACTCGCTCGCTCAGCTAACGCTTGAATTCTTCGCTCAAAATCCACGGATTCTGCTTCACATGACACCAGGAGTTGTCCTACAAACAATGTGTCCCACTGGGGGTGCCAAATTGTCACCCGTGCCACATAAAACCACATTTAAGACTAATAAAACAAAAAGCTACGGTGGCTGATAAGAACAAACAGAGTCACAAAACCTACAACACAAATACAAACTTAAAACAGAATCACCAAATCCGAAACACTATCACAAAACTCTACAACACAAACACAAACTTGAAACAGAATCACAAAATCCGCAAGTTTGTGTTGTGTTGTAGAGTTTTGCGTTAGTGTTGCGGATTTTTTGATTCCATTTAAAGGTTGTGTTTGTGTTGTAGAGTTTTGCGTTAGTGTTGCGGATTATGTGAATCTGTTTCAAGTTTGCGTTGTAGGTTTTTTGACCATGTTTTGTTCTTACCGGCCACCGTAAAAAGCACTTCAAGATGTGTTTTTTTTTTTGAACGAAACTCATACATCGATTTTACCACTGTCCCGGATGTAAGTGACCTACGTCATACGTCACGCATTTCCGTTACGATTATTTCCGGTTACGTTTATCACTTGTTTCCACTTGTTTACACCCTAACAGTAGCACTGATGCAATCGTCAATGTAACGGCCGTAGAGTTTAGGTTCGGGGCCGTGGTATTGACTGAAAAATTGGTGTTCGATAAAACCTTCGAGAAGATTGGCGTAGCTGAGTCCCATTTAAGTACCCATGGCGACGCCATTTGTTTGTTTGTAGTAGTTGCCACCGAATGAAAAGCAATTGAGTGTAAGTGTCAGTTCGGCTAGACGGAGTAGGGTTTTGAGCTAGGTTCCTCAACAGTGCTTGACAGCATGAAGAGATGTAATATCCACAGTGAATTAAAAAATTGTTGTGGGTGTTGTCTATCCTTAATGTAAGATGGTGAAGTTTTGACGAGAGGTGCCATTATTTTGTCTAAATAACTGGAAATTAGTTCGGTGGTACAACTGTAGGCAAAAACAATGGGTCGACCTGGGTTGTTCGGTTAGGTTGGATTTTAGGTAAAATGTACATATACGGAGTGATGATGGTGAGATGCGTTTGCAGTGGCCGGCAATTCTTGTTTAGCTATAAGATCGAGAAACGTATTTTTGACAATGTTTCAGTTGATGAAAGTGAGATCTTTGTCAACTTTTGCATGAAAGAAGATTTTAGAAAGTTGCCGCAAAGCTTCCTTTTGCTAG